AAGTCCAATTAATGTTTTAGGCGTAAAGTAGGTACATCGTAAATATAACTATAAACTAAAGATGTGCAATTCTATATGACATATTTCACCAAGAAATTTTCATTAAATTTGAAATCATTGCTATGTTGGACACCAAGCTTTAACAAAAAGTATCTATCAGTCTAAAATACTTTTTTGGCAAATATCAGTGTTATATATATAGTTCTATATAGATCTATGATGGTTGATTTGACTACCTTCAGAAACAGAAGATGTACAAAAACAAAAAAGTGTAGGATTGTGTTGTTGTTCACTCAACAACCTCACAGTGGAAAATACGGACAGTTTCCTATTCGTCAAGGGACGACCTTATTCATCCTTATCTCTAACTTCATTGAATGAAAAACTCTAAAAGAAACTTAAGTACATGGTCTGAAGTTAGCCTTATTTCAAAAATTGTTACCATAAATATCAAGGAAAGAAGGAGTACCTATTGAAAAAATAAGAATTCTTTATTTTAATGTTAAAATCTTTGACAGCCCTACAACGCTTTTGAAAAAGAACTTCCATTATTGGTTTTCCCCGAAAACTTCAGACAAGGGAACAAATTTTCAAAACACAAGGAAGCAAATGCGGTGTGGCCTGCCATTTATTATATTTTATAATATTTTCTTTTCCCGATGTCCTTAATAGGGATCGGACCTTTTGCCTTTTTTAGTCCCTTGGGAGAGACATGGCGAATATTATTTCATCCTCCTCTACGGGTACTCTCGACCTTTTGAATGTATTATTAAACTTTTGTTGTTATCGAGATTAGAATAATATGGGCTTCACATCAAATCTTTGTCCCTTTTGTTATTTCTCTCGTATTCATCTGACTTTACGGATATTACTTTTGTTGGTAAAAAGTAATTACAAATTCGACCCTAAATTTCAATGCTGTTATTATTAAACAGGTTTTTTTTTTTTTTTTTTTTTTACGTGGATGACATTTTCAGTATCGTCAAAGGAAACAAACAAGAAGTGGATCAATATATACAACATCTGAACTCTATTCACCCCAAAATGAGGTTTACATATGAAATGGAGACGGACAGGTCGTTGTCCTTCTTAGATGTTAAAGTAGCCGTGAGATCGGATGGGTCCTTGTCACACTGTGTGTACCGTAAACCTACTCATACGGACAGATACCTACACGCCACGTCTCATCATCACCCCCGGCACTTGCAATCTGTTATGACTTCACTCAAAAACAGAGCTTACGATCTCTGTGACCCTGAACATTTAGAACAGGAGCTAAAACATGTTCAGGAGGTACTCAAAGGTAACGGATATCAAGTGAAAGGAGGACGGAAGCAACCGAAAATAAGACGCAAGTATCCAGAAGTGAACAGGCAACCGGCCTATATGCCTTATGTCAAGGGAGTTACGGACAAGATCGGGTCTGTACTAAAGAAATATTCCATTCCGACAGTATACACACCAGGCATAAAGGTTCACAACATCGTCGGCACACCGAAGGATACATTGCCACTACAAACTCCGGGTGTTTATAAAATAGACTGCAGCTGCGGAAGCTCATACATAGGCCAAACTAAGCGGACTATTGCAGAAAGGGTCAAAGAGCATATCGCTGCTGTGAAGAACCGACAGACGAGCAAATCAGCGATTGCAGAACATGCACTCGATGCAGGCATCAACCACTGGATTGAATTTCACCGCACGCAAGTCCTCTCCACCGAACGTCACTTTTACTCAAGAGTTGTACGTGAAGCGATTGAGATTAAAAAGCATAAAACTTTCAATCGGGAAGATGGTTTTAAATTATCTACAGCGTGGAATCCAGTGTTAAAAAACATACCACCTCGCTTTTCTGCGCAATCGGTTAAACACCAGAATAGGGACTCATCGGTTTGCTTACAGAATAGGGACACTGTTAGTGTGGTATGTGACGGTACATGGCGACACAAAAATAATATCGAAAATGTGCGGGTAGATGAAGAGCCTTCTACTTCACGGATTCGACGACGGAGGGCGTGCGCCGATGAGCCAGTCAGCCTGTGACCACGGCCGGTGCAACCTGGTCGAAACGTCAGGCAAACCAGAGGTATGTAATACCCTAAATAAGAGATCGCGTTAATTCCCGTTAAATAATATTAATTATCATGGAACGCGAAAGTTTAAAAGTTAGTATAGCAAACCGCTACGGGTCGGAAATTGCAAAACAAGTGCGTCACCTAGAATATTTACGTAAAAAACGAGCGCGAATGGAAACATCGTTGATATTTCTTGTGAAGTGTCGCGATTGGGACTTATTACCTTCGTGTGTTCGAATAAAACCGCGTAGTGATATCGCATTTTCACGTGAAATTCTAAAAAACGCGAGTGCACGTCTCCTGAGACAATTAATTCGAAACAAACACAGTGATTTGGAGTATATACAGAGGGAGTCATATGCGTTACAATTAAAGTGCAGTGTTAATCTATCTCAATCGGACTATGATTTGTGTGACCGGGTTACGTTTTTACAAGCGAGTCGTACCTTCGAGTTATGTAGTAAAAATTTTGATCGAAAGTTCTCGAAGGAATATAATCGACGGTATACAGAAAATAAAGCGTCACCCGGGGTACCCGAGAGATCGAAGGACACCGTTGTAAACTTGTCAAACGTGAGTTTAGATGATACAACAATGAACATCTTGGCTAAAGGTATGAACTTCGCTCCGACACCTAAACGAATACCGTTCGAGAATGTAATCAGTAGCGTCGAGGAATCGATTACACGGAACAAAGTACCGCCCGGCGATGCCGATATCCTAAGACAGGACGTTGCGGTAATATTACGTCGGTCAAAGCTTCCGGCTAGTAATATCACTATCGAAGAGCGTCAAGCACTAAAAAACATTAGGGATAACCAGGATATTTTAGTGCTTAAGGCCGACAAGGGAAACGCTACCGTGGTGATGAATACAACTGATTACAAAAGCAAAATACTTGAACTGTTGAGTGATAATAAGGTTTATAAACCGGTAACATACAACCCCACGGCCAGAGTAACGCGAAAAATACGATCTCTAATCCGGGACAATGAGGACCTATTTTCAGAAGACGAGTACAACAGACTGTACAAACCAAAGTCACACCAGCCACCGAAATTATATGGTCTGCCTAAGATACACAAGCCTGACGTACCGCTGCGGCCGATTGTAAGTCAAATTGCTTCTCCTACTTACGATCTAGCAAAGCACGTTGCTTCTGTATTGCAACCACTTATAGGCAAAACACCGTCTTTTGTGAAAGACTCACGGCACTTCATACAAATCATAAAAGATCTGACGTTGGAACCGGATGACGTCATGGTGAGCTTTGACGTGGAGTCGCTTTTCACCAATGTTCCAATAAAGGAGTGCCTAAACGTCGTAAAAGACCTACTGAGAGGCAACGAGCTGCCCTTAAACTATATGGATCTACTTGAACACTGTTTAGAAGGCAACTATTTCCTTTTCCAAGGTCAACATTACCTCCAGATTGATGGTGTCGCGATGGGAAGTCCTGTAGCCCCAGTACTGGCCAACATCTGGATGGAACATTTTGAAGAGAAGGCTTTAAATCTCGGCCCGAATACCGTTAAGCTATGGAAGCGATACGTGGATGACATTTTCAGTATCGTCAAAGGAAACAAACAAGAAGTGGATCAATATATACAACATCTGAACTCTATTCACCCCAAAATGAGGTTTACATATGAAATGGAGACGGACAGGTCGTTGTCCTTCTTAGATGTTAAAGTAGCCGTGAGATCGGATGGGTCCTTGTCACACTGTGTGTACCGTAAACCTACTCATACGGACAGATACCTACACGCCACGTCTCATCATCACCCCCGGCACTTGCAATCTGTTATGACTTCACTCAAAAACAGAGCTTACGATCTCTGTGACCCTGAACATGTAGAACAGGAGCTAAAACATGTTCAGGAGGTACTCAAAGGTAACGGATATCAAGTGAAAGGAGGACGGAAGCAACCGAAAATAAGACGCAAGTATCCAGAAGTGAACAGGCAACCGGCCTATATGCCTTATGTCAAGGGAGTTACGGACAAGATCGGGTCTGTACTAAAGAAATATTCCATTCCGACAGTATACACACCAGGCATAAAGGTTCACAACATCGTCGGCACACCGAAGGATACATTGCCACTACAAACTCCGGGTGTTTATAAAATAGACTGCAGCTGCGGAAGCTCATACATAGGCCAAACTAAGCGGACTATTGCAGAAAGGGTCAAAGAGCATATCGCTGCTGTGAAGAACCGACAGACGAGCAAATCAGCGATTGCAGAACATGCACTCGATGCAGGCATCAACCACTGGATTGAATTTCACCGCACGCAAGTCCTCTCCACCGAACGTCACTTTTACTCAAGAGTTGTACGTGAAGCGATTGAGATTAAAAAGCATAAAACTTTCAATCGGGAAGATGGTTTTAAATTATCTACAGCGTGGAATCCAGTGTTAAAAAACATACCACCTCGCTTTTCTGCGCAATCGGTTAAACACCAGAATAGGGACTCATCGGTTTGCTTACAGAATAGGGACACTGTTAGTGTGGTATGTGACGGTACATGGCGACACAAAAATAATATCGAAAATGTGCGGGTAGATGAAGAGCCTTCTACTTCACGGATTCGACGACGGAGGGCGTGCGCCGATGAGCCAGTCAGCCTGTGACCACGGCCGGTGCAACCTGGTCGAAACGTCAGGCAAACCAGAGGTATGTAATACCCTAAATAAGAGATCGCGTTAATTCCCGTTAAATAATATTAATTATTAAACAGGTATTTGAAATATGAGTATTTTTTAGTTACCGTTATATGAAATGCCCTCTGTTTTACTGAGTTTGTTAGGATCGTAGTAATAGTCTAATTTGGTTATGAATCGATAAAAAATCAACTAGTCTTAATTCAATTCTACAATTACACTCGTGACTATGCAGTAATTTACTAAGAAATATCAACTTACAGGTTATAATGCACGTCGGCCATATTTGGTCGGTATTTGAGCGCCCTCTCAAAGGCAACTTCTGCTTCCGCCGTCCGTCCTTGTGCTGTTAGCACACTCCCCAAATTGCCGTATGCTGTAAAAAAAACAATTAGTTAGATGTATTCTGATAAAAGTTGTTGGAATTACTTAATTGTTTAATAAATAAATAAATCAACTCTGGTTGTCTTTTGTTTAATAGCCCTATTACGTTTCTTTGATAACAAAATAAATAAAATTCAATTATTAGGTCTAGTATCATACATAAATTAACCTAAATCGTGTTCTACATGTATAATTGTTAACCGTACTAAGAGCTGTTAATGAGCAAATTTGCTCATGTTAGAAGTGAGCAAGTGCGCAACCCGATAACAAAAGCTAATCCCAGGCCATCTCCTAGTTTAGGCTTGGTATGACACACCGTGTTCCTGGGTCGAGCTATACTGGCATACCTTTCCACCGAAAGCACTATTCGTCGTGACAGTTCGTCGAAATGTGAAATTTACAAAAAAAAAAAGTGTGAGCAACCTCTTAATCCCACCCACAAGCACAACGCTATTGCATTGAGTAACTAATGTACCATCCATACTTCCATACTATTATTTTGAAATAGCTTTTAAAAAGTGGCCTATGTTACTCGCTGATAATGTAGCTCAGCATTGGTAAAAGATTTTTTAAATCGTTTCATGTTAATAATTGGTTCTTTAATGTTAATAAATCAATAAGTCATAAATTAAAGGTATAATGGTTAACAATATATTTATACAAGCTATTATAGCTGCATAAAGTAGGTACACCCACACTCAACAAAATAACACAACAATGTATGTGATACGGAATGTTATTTAAAAACATAAAGTAGAAATACCTTATAAAAAAGTACCTACCAAACAAGAAGCTGGATTATTCTTACATTAAATTAAACGATTTTAGATTTTAATTTGCTTAATTTAAACTTAAAATAGGTATTTAAAATGATTTAATAATAGATTACAATCTTCATTATCAGTAAACAGATTTTTGTAACTACAACGCAATTATATAAATATAACGCTGATCAAAGCGGGCTTGCGAACAATTACGTTAAAATTACAAAATACGATTACGATGTGCTTGATTAAACATAAGTGAAGTCAAATCTTAGTATAACAGTAATAAAGGTATAATTATAATATTAGGTAGTACAATTTGTGTTAAATATTAAATAAAAGGGTTGGTAACGAAACCATTTCAGGTTGCACTACCCTTTTTATTGAAGTTAGAATCAATTCAAACAGTGTTCACGTGTATCCATGGAGTTGTCAACCAAATCACATCATTTTCACAGATTTTACCAACAAATTAACAAATTTAAAACTTGTTTAACCGTGTTTGGTATGTGAGCTTAAACCCTGTTAATTTGTAGTTAAAATCTGGTATTAAGTTTATTGGTTGTTTTATTAAATCCCCTAAAGAATACAAATCAATGACATTTAAACTAGAGTACCTACTGATTACAGTTTTTTTTTATAGATAGTGAAATAAAAACTATTTACTATTGTGGGATACCTAGAATTATTCAACTTGAAGATATTTGTAAAAACGGATTACATAACCGCCGTGATTGAATAACCCACATAGTTGCCAGATAAACTTTATGAGTTATGCTAGTAATATAGCTAGGATATAAAATTACCTACGTGATGCATCATTTAAATGCACTAACGAAGGAGACGACAACATTACATTAATTATTCATATCTACGAGCAAGAATAAACCGTTTCATTTTACTATTTTAACACGAAATTATTTTAAACTTATTAATAAAACTGACCTGACTGAAAGAGAAGGAGGAGGAAATGGCTATTCTACCTATAACTGCAGTTTAATAGCACGTCCGTAGCAGAATCCTATAGGGAAGTATTCCCTATAGGATTCTGCTATCAGTGAGTCCAAATTACTACGCAAGGTGCACTAGGCTTTGCGGTCTTTTTTTTCGTAACTAGGCAGTATCGTAATGTATGATAGCGATGTATGGTAGCCAATGAGGAGAAGAACATTGGCAAGTGAAATCTAGCGTGAAGAAAACCGTTCGAGATGATTTACTTCGATTGACCTCATAACTGACATCAATGTAGTTAAATAGTAGTTAAATCAAATAAACTGAGCTCTTCATAATTTAATTTTCCATAGCTTTTAGTACAGTCGAAACAGCATTATCAAAAGTGCAATGTTTAAGAATATTAATTATGGTTTAGAAACAAAACTCAACCTTGGTGCCGATAGTGTTCTTAGTAATATATAGGGATAGGATAATCTATAGGATAATCTATATATAATATATGATAGATAGGATACTATGGGGAATACTTCTAATACTTCAGTATATTTTATTTTTTATATATAAGTGTTTAGAACATCCACTGTGTTCAAAACCCTCAGGCATGCCTCCTAACGCTACAACGGAATACTGAAACTGCATAAATTTATAGAAAGAAAACACTTTATTTCGTTTATTTATAATCCGTTTACTGAAATGTAGAGACAGTACCGTGAATTAGAATGGATTAATAAATCTACTATTTTCGAAAGCTGTAGCGTAGGCATAATTCAATCAAAACCTAATATGTATAATAAATTGTTTATGGTATTAATGTTCCTACTTTATTTATTTTTAATGTTAATCAATTCATTTTTATATTTTTTAGGGTTCTCTATGTCTGAATGCAAAAATAAATCCATTCAACCGTGGGAAACTCACGCTTCAGTTCAAATAGGACGGCTCAACCGGAGTGATACCACGGCCTCACAGAAAGTTGACGTTAGGCAATTCTTTCGTTGCTTTTAAATGACTGAGTGAGATTACCGTAGCCATTCCCCCCTCTCCTTCTTATTCTGTGGGAAAGAAATCAAAGGATGGCAACACACTTGTGAGTTCTAAATCAGCAGCGTCGCAATGTTGGCGACATCACAGCGAAGTCGACGCCGCAGTGAGCCGGTGAACTTTACATTATCATTACCTACTACTCACTTACTTCAGTTTCTTTTTAAAATCAATTTATTAAAGATACACCTTTGTTCACGTGTTTATTTCGAGAATGTTCGACTAGCTGCGGACCCGGCAGTCCATATCACTCCTTGAAAAAGTAGGTACTTTGGTGGTCTCGTTATCTTTGTACCGTCCTTACAAAAATTTGGCAGTCTGTAGGACATGCACGATTGATTCCTTACCTCGGTATGTCCGTAAAGGTAAAGATACATTTGATAGTGGTCCCCGTAAATAAACAACATGTCAGACAATTCCGCAGCTGTGAAGGTCACTATGAATGTTGATACCAATAACCCAATAAAATTAAAAAACTGATAATGCACTCAGTTTAACACACACAACACAAACCAATATTGACATTTCTCAAAATAAAATTAGCGGTACTAGTTACAACACGAAGTCTTGCGCCCACGATAATATTTGTTCACACCATTGCTGTGTATTATGATGGACGCAATAAGACTAAACATAAACAATAAAATATCTCAAGAACAACAACAATATTATTATTACGATAATTCGTCGTGAGTGCAGATGCACTCAATATGAGTGCAGATGTAATCAATCACTTCATATATGTCCTTGTAGATACAAATGAAGTGATTCACGGTTGTTAAGGGCCGACTGACGAATGAACTAATAAAAAATGCGTGTTCTTCATCCTAAAGACGCAATAATCGACATATTTCGTTCGATTCTTGATATTTTATTTTCGTTCGATATTGAGGTCAATGTCTTATGACTGCATTTACACATGATATTGCAAATTATGAAAACAAAAAAGAAATCCTGTTTCCAAACCACTGCATATATTTCGTTCATATTTTGCAAATCGTCTAGAAACAAGTGCAGAATATTTGGTTTAAATAAATGTGATAGTATAAAAAAACACGTTGTATAGATTGTACTGTGTTATACCTATCTAGTAGTTTTTTTCCTGTGCGGAAATCCACCTGGATACCACTCACTGGTGGGGTGGCTATGTCCACCACCACCTATGACCAAAACCCAACCGCGGTCTCGATTACCAGTAGTCGGGAAACTAGGTGTACCCTAGAAAGGGAATCCCTGATACTCCGACGTACCTCAGGTCATATACGGCGTGTAGATGACCCTCTCCTGTGTGGGTACCTCCATGTTCTCTTTGTTCTCCCGAAGGGGCACGAGCGCACCGGCTACCACCCCGGCCTACTTCTGCTAGGGTAAAAGATGGCCTCACCTGTCACCCCCAGGCTTGCGCTTATGGAGGACGGAGTTCGTTCTGCGACCTCCTCCGCCTGAGTCGTTTGCGGTACCTGGCCCGTTCCCGGGCCTGGCGGGCTGGGAGAGTTCTAAACCTTCCCTGGTCCCGCTTGCTCGCTTGCTCTGGTAAGTTTAGTTTGAAATCGTTTGGCTTCTGACAAAATTTAAATTACTTTGAATTCCAAGAACATTTTTTGTGATTCTATATTAATTAGGTAAATGCCATATAAGTGAGTTTTCTTTTTGTAAAAACATCATAAAAATAATATATTGCTGTTTTTTATGCTGACCTGTTAAATGTTTGTGTTACACTTACCAAAATTAATTTTTGTTTTTAGTGCATCTTGGTGCCCGTTTTCTGAGAAACGAGTTTTAATTCTGGATACACGATATTAATATATACAAGTTTAGTATTTATATATATAAGTTAATACTTAATATGTATGTATATATATACATATATATATATTAAGTACTAACTAAGTACCTATAAATTAAACACTGATCGTATTTATTGGCACCGACTTCAAAAAATCTAGAAGGGACTATTGCTATCCTAATGTTATGCCTGTTATTTTGAGGGTACCTATTTTAGTTTTTTTACTTATATTTGTAATTATTTTTTAATATTTAGTTTTCTGTCTCAGTATTGTTTGGAGTCGGTTCAACTTTTTTTTTAAAGGATTTATTTTACCATTTTAGTGTAATATATCTAAACACCTAACAAATATCTTGAATGAATAAAACAAGGTCAATACATGATTAGATTTGTGAAATAGTTATTTTCTAACTCCTAAATGTCAAGGTTACTTCCATCGTCAGCTCAGCAACATGACATAACGACTACTTAACGCAAATACCTATAAAGCTAGAGAAATAAGCTAAAACACATTATCGGGGCTATGAAACTTGAGGGTTTCCCTTAATTTCTCTAGGATCCCTTCACCAGTTCCTGATTTGGTGATAATCTCAAATAAAAATTAATAACCTCCTCTTTTCGGTTTTTGAAGTCGGTTAAAAATTAAAAAATATATGTAATATTCTAAAACAAAAGTAATTTACTCCGTTTTATTTAAAGTGACCCCGAAAGAATTATAAATTCACCAAAATGTTCGTTTTCTTTAAGACAACTCAGTCTAATTTCGTCGCGGGTGCCACCGCAGTCCGATGTTAGTTTTAATTAAAATTTATAAATGTTATTACAGCTACAGTCCTTAATCAAATATTCTTTGAAAGTATTAATCAGACACGGTTTGTTTCTTTTGTTAGTGACTTTGTAACGCTCTATTCAGCAATGTTTTTTTACAAAACCTCTC